TTGGTATCACTGGCTGGTCCAGCATTTATTGTCCATTCCTAATTGCTATGAAGAAGATGGTGATATGCCTTCTTTGATTTGAATTGATTTATTATTGTCATATGAACTGGGATGCAGTGAAACGTAACGTTTTACATGCTAACCAGACAAATCATACCATAAATAAGTACATCAGGGTAATAGAACAGAATGCAGAATATAGCATTACAGCTGCAGAGAAGGTGCAGAGAAACATCAACTCTAGTATATGAGAGGTCTGTTCATAAGCCTGATAATAGCATAGAAGAAGCTGTTCTTCAGTCTGTTGGTGTGTGTTTTTAAAGTTGACATCTTCTACCTGATGGAAGAGAGTGTAACTGCTGTATTCTATGGTGGGGGGTAGTGGAAGAGAGAGAGAGAGAAGGGGCTGTTTCCCATGTATCCCTTGTCTTTCTAGATGGTAGAGATCTCGAGTTTTCAAGGTGCTGTCGAAGAAATTTATTGAGTTTTTGCAGTAGATAATACATTCTGCTGTCACTGTGCGTTAATGATGGAAGGAGTGAATATTGCAAATGTTAGATTGGGTGCCAATCAAGGGGGCTGATTTGTCTGGATGATGTTGGAGGTACACCCAGCCAGGCAAGTGGGGAGTATTCCATGACTCTACCTCTAACTTGTCCCTCCAAAATGGTGGACAGATTCTGGGGAGTCAGAATATGAGCTACTCACTGCAGGATTCCCAACCTCTTACCTGCTTTTGTAGACACTTTATTTATACAGCTAGTCTAGTTCATGGTAACCTCTAGGATGTTGATAATGGGGGATTCAGTGATGGTAATGCTATTATATGTCAAAAAATGATAGATAGATTCTCTCTTGTTGGAGATGGTCATTGCTCACCACTTTTCAGCCAAAATCTTGATATTTTCCAGATCTTGCTATATATTTCTTCAGCATCTGAGGAGTTCAAAATGGTGCTGACATTTTGCAATCATCAGCAAACACCCCCACTTCTGATCTCATGCTGAAAGGAAACTTATTAATGAAGCAGCTGAATATGGTTGAGCCTACGACACCACCCTGAAGAATGCCTGTAGTTATATCCTGGACTGAGATAATTGACCTCCAACAACCACAGCCATCTTCCTTTGTGCTAGGTGTGACTCCAACCAGTGAAGAAATTTTCCTTCCTGTTCTTTGTCTCCAGTTTCGTTATGCTGATTTATGTCATAATTATCAAATGCTGCTTTGATGTCAAGGGCAGACATCCTCACTTCCCCTCTTGCATTCTGGTTTTTTGTCCACATTTGATCCCAGATCAGGAACTGAGCGATCATGGATGCTCGGTTTTAAGTTGTGAGATTTGTTCAAAGTCATTCGCATTCAGCACATACAGCATGATGGAGAGTATCTTCAGTGTGAAGGCAGAACTACATTTCCATGAGGACTGTGGGGTTGTGTCTCCTATTGATACTGTCATGGGCAGATGTATTTGCAATTCGTGGATTGGTGAGTATGAGATTGAGATTTTTTTCCCCTTTTTTTGGTTCTCTCATCACCTACTGCGACGCTAGGCTAGCAGCTGTGTTCTTTAGTACTGGTCTGCTCGATCAGTACTACTGAGCCATTCTTCATAATGGACATTGAAGTATCCCACCCAGAGTATATTCCATGTCTATGCCAGCCTGACTGCATCCTCAAAGTGATGGTTAACAGGTAGTGGACTGATTAATTAATTGATGACTCATAGTGGGTGTGGAAGGTTGTAATCAACAGGAGGTTTCCTTGTCAATGTTTGACCTGATGCCATGGGCTTCATGGGGTCTAGAGTCAATGTTGAGGGCTCCCATGGCAACTATCTCCAGATATATACCACCTCTGGTGGGTCTGTCGTGCAGATGGAATGACAGTTTTGGTCCTGGGGACTGTACCTATGAGTATATGACTCCAAAGGGATGACCATGTCAGGCTGTTGCTTGTCTAGTTTGTGAGAAAGCTCTCCCATTTATTAATTAATCCCCACGTATTATTAAGGAGGATTTTGCTGCAGTAACATGTCTGTGTGTGCCACTTTGTTGATGCAGGTTTATTCCTTTTTCCCAAACTTTGTAGTAGCTAAATACAACAGAGTGGCTGGCTGGCCATTTCAGAGGATGATTCAGAGTTAACAGCATTGCTGCAGATCTGGAGTCACACACAAGCCAAACTATGTCAGGATGGCAGAATTTCCTTCACTTAAGGACATTAGCAAAATGGATTTTTTAAAATAAGAATAAACAATAGTTTGCTGGTCAAATTTCACCATCTGCCATGAAATCCAAACACAAGTCCCCCCAGCAATATCCTGGGTGTCCAGATCACTAGTCAAGTGACATTACCAATATGCCAATGCCTCCCCTATTCTTATTGCATGTCTTCATATAGTCAATTGTATCACATTTCCTCATACCTTAAATTGACCATTATACGCTGAGGGTGATCCAGCATTCCCGTATGAATAATTTTTATTTCTAATTCCCACGGGGGTGACATAGTAGTATAGAATGCATTAAGGTTTCCAGTCTCCAAGGTAAAAGTACCTTAAACATTTTTGCTTTTGGCTTTTTTTCCCCAGACAACACTGGGGGATTAGCAACTTCAATCTTTTAGCAGTGCATTATGCATAAAGCAGCTGACTGATCAGTAGGATTGGCCACTACTTAGTTCTTGCAGAGACACAGTTCTGTCTGCACATTGGGATGGTCTTCTCTATGTTTTGTGGAATTTCCACCATACTGAATGGGATAGACTTTGAAAGGATCTAACAACTTCAACAGGACATCCATGTGGTGCTGCAGACCACCAAGCAGCAAACTTGTATTCAGTCACGATCTTTAAACTCAACTGAGCATATCCCTTAGTCTACCATCACCATCAAGGCAAGGGATCAACTCTAGTTCAATGACAGTGCAGGAGGGCATGGCAGAAGTGTACTTAAAACTAAAGTGTCAACCTGGTGAAGCTGTAGATACTTTTAATCCATGTGTTCAGAGGTGTTGCAAGTGAGACTTGAATACAGGTCTCTGGCTCTAAAGGAAGGGATGATATCACTGTGCCACAGGAGCCCATTTCTGGTGAATCTATAGCTTTGTTTGAAGGAGCAAAAATATACATTATCACTATCCCTCTGAGAAAGAACCATTAGAGACCTCTTATAAGTTAGCAAATTATACAATTTTCAAAAGCCCAAGGTGTCATTAATGGAATTATGAGCTGAAGCACAATGAAACGGCCATTAGTTTGAAACACAATAACTCTTACTCCGTCTTGAGATTTAGATTTTGCAGATAGATGGCCAATTCCCTAGCAATGGCCACGCTAGTCTATTTTACGTCAATCTATAATGCCACACAAGCAAGTGAAAACCTTGGGAGACCAAGGATATATATTCCCATAAACTCAACATCCCTCTGGAATCTCGAGACACCAACAGAATAGACGTACAATTTGTAGCATCATCTATTCCTTCACTGGAGACAACATATTTGTGGCTTGACGAGTCATATTCTTGCAGTTGTACAACACAGCCAAACAGTCCCGAATAATTATACCAATCTACTTTCCCTGAGAATTTAAAAAAAATTGAAGTGAGTTCCATGAAGGTCAACTCCAGGCCTTCAATAAAAAGCCTCATAAAGCAAAGTTAGCAGCAGCCTAAGTCGGTGCAATCCCAGCAGAATTATGAAAAGCAAGCTGTATTTGACAGATTGCTAACAATTTTGGTGAAATGACTAATTAGATAAAAGGAATACAGTGGTCGTGGTCTTCCAGAAGTTGTTTGAAAAGTTAAAACACTGGGAGTTTGTGTTACAAGAATAAACAATGGATAAAGATTTGATTGCTTAACAGGAAAAGAGGCTTATGATTAATTCTGGATAATCACAGCAGGTCGTACAGCATCCGAGGAGCAGGTAAGTCAACGTTTTGGGCCAAAACTTCAATTTTGATGAAGGGTTTCGGCCCAAAATGTTGACTTACCTGTTCCTCGGATGCTGTCTGACCTGCTGTGATTTTCCAGCCTCACACCATAGACTCTGGCTTCCAACATCTGCAGTCCTTATTGTCTCTAGTTTATGATTAATTCTCCTGATTTACGAATGTCAACAGCTTAATGGAGGAGGTTTTAGTACTGAATCCACTTTTGTTCTCAGTTTATATGGATTATTTGGTTATATGCACAGGATGCAGCCTTGTTAAGCAGTAAGTTGAAAGATCTAGGGAAGAGACAGTTTAGGTGAATGGATAGACATGGTGGATGCAATTAATATGGAGAAATATGATGAAATACCTTATACAAAGGGTCGCAAAATATACGATTTGGCACATAACGAAAGTTGAAGAACAAGCAATGTTGCTGGTTTAAATACATGATTTTCTGCAAGTGACAGCAGGAAGAAAAAGCCATAAATATGGAAACAATGAGATAAAAAGCAAATACTAGGCAATGATTAGGCCACCTAGTATTGTGTGTAGTTTATGACAATTATATCATGCAATAAACATTAAATCCATTGAGAACATAAAATGCGATGGATCACAATTATGCTTGCGATGAGAAGTTGCAGTTATGACGATAAAGCCTGATATTCTGGGTCAATTTTTACTGAAGCACAGATGACTAAGGAGAAGAAACAACAGAACATTCTAACATTCTTACATTTGGATATTGATTAGGGAAAGAATATTTCTTCTTGAGAAGAAAGAGCAAGTGAAATCAAAAGTTAAAATTGCCACTAAGAGAATGGACAGAGGATTAGAGAAATTTCTTTATATGCATAATTATGTGGAATGGAGTTGCTTATTTTAGATAGAAACGATTGCATCTTTTAAGGATAATGGAATAAAAATTTGAACAAGAGGAAAACCCAAGGCACTTTGGTGAAAAAAGAGCAATGAGATTAGTTTTGAATTGCTTGATAAAATACAGACCTGTTGGACTAAGTGGCTTCTGTGTTGTGCAGTCAAATAATAGACATTGCAAAAAAATATACAAGGCATTTTATTGTGAAAATTAGTGAAGACATATAATACACATTTCATAAAGTATTTTCTCAGGATCTGATGCATCATTATGTATCTGAAGACGAGAGGGTTTTATTCGTTCAGGGTGGTTTTAAAAATTGTGGCAAGTTCCTATTTTCTGAAGAGGCCTCTGATTGTACTCTTGGTTTTATGTGAGTGATGGGTTTGAACCAATCTGGGCATTTAAGATGTTTTCAATTCAATTCCCTATAAAGATAAAACAGAACATTCAGAATTCCTGGAATATTACATTATACTTGGTGTTTTCAACAGGCTAAGTTACTCAGAATTAAGAGTCTGAAGCCTTTGTCAGCAAAAAATAAATCTTCGGAACAGACAACGAGAAACGAGGGCACCATAACAGTGAATGCTTAATGGCACAATCCAACTAGTCATTCATCTTTTCAGCGTCTTTATCCACAACACTCACACATTTGTTGCCCTTTATGTAAAATCTCAAGGGTTTGTTAACCCATTCCCCTGCATAGCCTATCCCAATACGGCTGGTGGACACTATATCTGATGCACTTATTTCTTCGGGGCCAGGTTCCAACCAGATCTCAGTGGCCGTAGTCAAGTCCCCCCTGTCAAACGTCTTGGTGATGTCTAACGCCTGACACAGTTTCGAGGGTCCATTACATAGCTCATGATCTTTGAGGGGCTTCCCAGCTTCTCTCCTCCGCTTGCTGCGAAGTTGTCTCATTGTGTGCAGTCCTTGCAGAGGTTCCAGCGATCGTACCAGAACGGCCGCACCATCTCCCTGACTGGACACATTCAAGCAGAAATACACCCCATAGATCTGATAAACATACATGGTGCCTGGAGTCATAAACATAGCGGCATTCCTCGCAGTCTGCTTGCCCCCGCGGGAATGGGATGCTTGGTCCTCACCGCCCAGGTAGGCTTCAGTTTCCACTATCCTGCCTTTCACTTCACTACCATCCGTAAACTTTCGGACCATGACTTGGCCCAGAAACTCTTTGGCCAAGGTCACACAAGGCCGAGTGAAGAAGCCCGAGGATAGCCTGCGGTGTGCCACTTTGTTGAAGTAGACACTGGTGACCGGACGCTCCTCCGGCAGCAGCTGCTGCTGCCTCCGGTGCTCTGGCTCCTCTGCCTGTCCCAGACCAGGCTGCAGCTCCACAGACAGCCCGCTTCCCCTTTCCCTCGCCCCAGGCTGAGCAGTCAGTACTTTCCTTTTCTTCGGTCCCATTCAAACGGGGTTCAAACTCAGCCTCGAGTCCTTGCAGAGAGCCCAGGTTGATCGCTATCTGCGCTGTGCTCAGTAAAACTTGCAGCTGATCTCTAACCTCCAGGGCGCAGGTACTGCTACAAACACGCTTCCTTCCCCTCAGCTCCAGCAACATCACAGCCGAGCAGACTGGGAACAGGAAGTAGTAACAGTTAAAGGCTTCCCAATCTCAATATCAGCAATTTCCAACCTGCTGTATTTGTACAAGACCTTAATACTTTCCTACGCCTCACGGTGCTCCCCTCCTCACCACCTCTCCCTTCCTATGATTTCTGATGGACCCGGTTCCTTAATGCTTCCCTACATGATTCAGCATGAGGAAATCCCTTCATTAATCTGGTCTCGCACTCCTCAACTAGTTCCTCCTGATGAATGGTTCCAGGTCTGTCTGCGCCATGTGTTTGTCTGCTCTCTCGAAGGTTCTCACTTAATTGGAAAATAAACATAAACTTTTCTAATAAGAGAAAGATTTTTCTTTATATCGCACGTTTTAGAACCACGCCATCTCAAAGCCAGCGACGTGCTTTTGAATTTAATTTAAATTCGTCGCTGGCTGCGCTAACATGTATCGCCCATTCCCGGGTTACCCTTGAGAAGGTGGTGTTGAGTTGCCTTCTTGCACCACTGCTGTCCCTATTCTGTGGGAAGACTCGCAAAGCTATTAGCGAGGAAGTTCCAGAAATTTTAAACCAGTGACAGTGAAGGAATGGTGATATGTTTCCAAGTCAAGATTGAGTCGCTTAAAGGGGAATTTGCAGCTGGTGGTGTTCCATGAATGTGCTACCCTTGTTCTTCTAGATGGAAGTTGTGGTGGGTTTGGAAGGTGTCTCAGGATTGTTGGCGAATTACAGCGTGCATCTTGCAGACGGTACACTCTGCTGCTACTGAGCGTCAGTGGTGGAGGGAGTCGATGGTTGTGTACATTCTTAGTGGCTGCACTCATCCAGGCAAATGGGGAGTAGTCCATCAACCTGACTTGTGCCTTTGTTGTTGGTGGACAGACTTTGGCTAGTCAGGAGCTGAGTTACTTGGTGCAGTATTCATAGCTTCTGACCTGACCTTGTAGCCACTGTATTTATATGGCAAGTCCAAGTGAATTTCTGGTCAATGGTAACCTCAGGATATTGATAGTGAGGCATTCAATGATTGTAACACCATTGAATGTCAAGGGGCGGTGGGTGGATTGTCTCTTATTGGAGATGGTCAATGCCTGGCATTTGTGTGGTGTGAATGTTACTTGCTACATGTCAGTTGAAGCCTGAGTATTGTACAGATCTTGTTGCATTTGGAGATGGTCTGCTTCAGTATCGGAGAGGTTGTGAATGGTACTAAAATGTGTATATATGTGGGTATTCTGAATTGCTTACTGAATATGTGGGTTCATTCAAACCAGAAATGATTTAGTGGAAGTTTTGAAAACTGAGCAGAACAGGGCAGAACTTTAAAAGGGCATTGACAAGTTGGTGGAGATATATGATAGATGAATACAGATTAGTATGAGGGACACATTTTGGTAGAACATGGGGCAATAGTATAAAATAAACAAGTCTAAAGGTTAGCAGGAGCAAGAGATCTGGGTACATTTTTGCATAAGTAATTAAATGTTGCAGGCTAGGTTGAGAGCAGTTAATAAAGAATGCAGAATTCTAGGTTTTATTAATAGGGAAAAGGCAACAGAATGACACTAAGCCATAATACTCATTTTGAGAACTGGGGGAGACATGTTGGGATATTATTTATCTCCACTCAGTCATGTCTTCCGTGGCATTATGTACCACGTTGTCAATTTGTACTAATGAAGTTTTGTTCTTATTCTGTCTGTAACTGTGACAACTTGAATATCTTGGGTTTTCTCATTTTAGCAATTGAATTTTTGGTGAAATTGGCTTGTCCACTTCCTCGGTTGTGTTACTGGAGATTCATCGTTTATTGATCCAATACCCGTTGTTGTTATCGGGGTATCTTCTTTGGAAGGTGGGAGGGTCAAACATTTTGCTTGACCACTTCAGCCCCTAAAGTCAGGCCTCATCTTGATCAAATAGGCCAATGGGCCGAGGAGTGGCTGATGAAGTTTAATTTAGACAAATGTGAGGTACTGCATTTTGGAAAGCCAAATCAGGGCAGGATTTATAGACTTAACGGTAAGGTCCTAGGTAGTGTTGCTAAACAAAGAAACCTAGGAGTGCAGGTTCATAGTTCCTTGAAAGCAGAGTCCCAGGTAGACAGGATAGTGAAGAAGGTGTTTGGTATGCTTGCATTGAGTATAGGAGTTGGGAGGTCATGTAGCAGCTGTACAGGACATTGGTTAGGCCACTTTTGGAATACTGTGTGCCCTTCTGGTCTCCCTGATATAGGAAGATGTTGTGAAACTTGAAAAGGTTCAGAAAAGATTTACAAGAATGTTGCCAGGGTTGGAGCGTTTGCTATCGTGAGAGGCTAAATATGTTGGGGCTATTTTCCCTGCAGTGTTGGAGGCTGAGGGGTGACCTGATAGGGATTTATAAAATCATGAGGGGTATGGATAGGGTGAATAGACAAAGTGGAGGGAGTCCAAAACTAGAAGGTGTAGTTTGAAGGTGAGAGGGGAAAGATTTAAAAGTGACCCAAGGGGCAACTTTTTCATGCAAAGGGTGGTGTGTGTATGGAATGAGCTGCCAGAGGAGGTGGTGGAGGCTGGTACAATTACAATATTTAAAAGGCATCTGGATGGGCATATGAATAGGAAGGATTTAGAGGAATATGGGCCAAATGCTGGCAAATGGGACTAGATTAATTTAGGATATATGGTCAGCATGGATGAGTTGGACCGAAGGGTCTGATTCCATGCTGTACAGCTCTATGGCTCTAAGATAGTTGACCAATGTGGAGTTTAGCAAACTGGTTTAATTCAGTCGCAGATACCTCCATTCATTGTCAATCAGCGCCTAGGATGGGGTGAGGAATGGTGTGGGAATGCATCAGGAGCTAGAGACTGTGGCTGTGCTGCGAAGGGTGCTGCTGTTGTGCGCAGGTGGTAAGTGGGACTGTTGTGCTAGAATCAATGATGGGGCCACGCTGCCTGCATTGGTTGTGAGGCTATGGTGCTTGGTTCGGGGCATGGTTGGGAATCAGGGCCAGGAGGAGCACTGGGGGCCGTGATATCAGTCCTTGGCACTTCTGTCTATTACTGTACATCCTCTTGATTGGTGTAGATGGTTAGGCTGCTGCCATTTTGCTTACACTTTGTCTTGAACTTTGCTGTCACTTGGAATCTGGAGGCTCTTTGTTTTTGATAGGGGTGGAAAACATTTCAGCCAAACTACTATTGTCACAGTTTTCCCTCTCATGGATGTCACAAAACAAAATCTTTAATACTATATACTTAGCCCCAGGAGATTCTGCTCTTTATGTAGGTTTCACTTTAAGGTTACAGAGCCCAACAATATTTTCTACAGTCTTCTGCTTGACCTTTTGTTGTTTAACCTCTTTCACCTTTTGAGTGATAGTAAGGACAATGTACACCATTTTACTCAGAAGAAAGAATTCCTGGTTGTGAAATGTGTAAAGATTTTCTAGTACCTGGTGCCTCCTGTGTTGGAGAGTTTCACCGATCTGGTCTTTTATGAACTCCAACTTTAAGTCACCACGGTCATGTCTCTCCAATAGCCTGTAAAGACCATTAATGAAATCATCTACGGACTCACCTGGATGCTGCAGTTAGATGTCGATAGGTAAATTTATAGTGGCGAACAGGGAAATGGCAGAGAATCTAAACAATTAAATTGTGCTTGTCATCATGGAGGATGATAATCTCCCAGAAATATTACGCAACCAATGGACTTGTGAAACTGAGGATTAGCAAAGTGATAGTTCTTGAAAAGTTGATTGGATTGAAGCTAGAGAAATCTCTCTGATCAAATGAGCTACATTCCATACTGTTGAGGGAGATGGCTACAGGGATAGTGGGTGTATTCGTGACTATTATTTTTAATCCGTTTGTGGGATGTAGGTGTCTCTGGTCGGCCGGCTTGCCTGTCCCCACTTGCCCTTGAGAAGGTGGTGGTGAGCTGCCTTCTTAAATTGCTGCAGTCCACCTGCTGTGGGCTGACCCACAATGCCATTTGGGAATTCCAGTCTTTTGATCCAGTGACTGAAAGAAGAGCAATAAAATCTTTCAAAATTCTATAAGGTGTCAAAATTCTATAAGGTGGCAAATACAATCCCACTATTCAAGAAGGGAGAGAGAGAGCGAATGGATAACCACAGGTTTGTTAGTTTGATGTCAGTGCAGGAAAACATTAGCATCTGGTATGAATGATGTGATGACTAGACATTTAGAAATGGGCAGAGTCAACTTGTATTTATGAAAGACAAATCACGGTTAACAAGCCAGTTGGAGTTTGAGGCTTTCTAATAAAACATTTTTTAAAAATGTGGACATCTTTGTCCAGGCCAGCATTTATTGCCAATCCCTAATTGCCAGGACGGCAGTTAATTGGCAACCACATTGCCATGAGTCTGGAGTCACATGTAGGCCAGACCAGGTAAAGATGAGAAATCCTAGTTGGCAGCATGTGTACAACCCAACTATATTTTCTGTTGCACTGTTTGGACTTTCTGGTTCCACCTCCAACTTGGAACCAAGCATGCACAGCGTAATGGGGTCTTCTGGCACCAGGCCCTGGCTCCAGACCATGCCAGGCTTCACCTTAAGGATCATGAGGTTGGGAGATCACTTCAAACCGCCATGCTGGGCAGAGGACACCACGCTGGGCGGCTGCTGCCATAGGTGGGGAGGCCGCTATGCCAAGCCAGTAAGTCGCCATGCTATGTGAAGAAATCTCATGCCACAAGGCTGCTGCAGGAGGCCAGAAGGTCACCATGCCATGCTGGGAGGCCACTCCGGGAGGTTGCCATGCCATGCTGGGAGGCTGCTGCGCCATGCCAGGAGGTCACCACACCAGAAGGCTGCTGCACCAAGCTGGGAATTGTTACCAGAGGCCAGGAATGATCACTCACTGGAGGTCGGGAATCATCAGAGGTCAAGAGAGAAGAAGAAGGAGAAATCACTAAGAGGAAGAAAAGAGAAGAAAAAGAAGAAAAGAAGAACAGGCAGAGCAGACAATCTTAGGCTGAAGCATCCAACTCTGCTGCCATCTTGTGACAGCTGGGAAATTGCAGACCTCGTCTGACCCAGAACAGGAATCGGGGAGAAAATTCTCCACTGGTTGGGTTCACCCGTAGCACAAAGGAACTTGGTTGT